GATGTTCTTTTTTTACTTCTCCATAAAAAATAATACTGGATTAGTAGTAAGTAAAAGCACTAAGTAAATATTGCAAGAAATACAATAATGCCTGTTGGCAAGATCACAGAAGTATATCTCCAGTGCTGTTTTGACAAAATGTCAAAATCTTCACTTGAAAAACAAATTTAATGTTTGTATATTGAGAATTAAGAGCATGCTGTTATAAACTTGACAGAAACTCTCAACAGTCTGTTAAAAATAGTGGCAAAAATGACTCTATTTCAAAGCCTGGTTGAGGTTTTGATTTAGGATTGCATATTTAAAGTAATGACAAAATATCATATATAACAGTATTTATAAACTATATATGACCACAACTGACAGTGGTCCAGATTTTTCTCCAGCATTCTTTATTGAAGAAAAAAAATGAAGCAACCCATAATGGGCCAGTAGTACCTGAATCTTTTCTAGTAATTTCTTGCTTACTCATTAGTTCCGTTTTCAAACAATTCGAAATCATTGTTACTTTTAATCCCACCAAAACCAAAGATAAGCATCCCAGGAGAACAATCATTATGAGAAAAGCAAAACCAGTACTGCACTTTGCCATTCATCATTGCATCCAATTTAATTTCTGTTTTTACAGAATTTTCCCTCGTTGTATAATATATCCTCTAGATTTACTCTTCATTTATATTTATGAAAAAGAACAAACATTAGAATACCAGAAATGTACTGCAAATATAGCTGTATTTCTTTCCATATAGGAAAGAAAAGTTGTCTGTATAAACTATTTACCTTCTTTCATTTTTCTGTCTTATGAAACATGATAAGAAGAAACTGTAAAAGTGGCTTTCCCTTTTGTAATACTAAAGATAATATAGTACTCAAGGAAAAAGTTTAGTCTTTGAGAGCAAAATAGTGGCCCATGTCTGAGACCAAGTTTTGCTGACTGGCACAGCCTTTGTGAGGTTTTTAAGCTGCATTGTGAAGTATGTGAGTAATATGAAAAAAACCCAAACCTTCCAGTAATATATTAAACACACTTATTACAGAAACCAAGAAAAATGAAAGAGATTGAATCTCAAGAACAATGCAAGTCTCTCTTGTGAGAAACACTGTTTAATAAATTATAAATACATCATCATATGAAATAGAAGCATAAATTCAGCATTCCTGACTGGATGAAAAAAAAAATTGCACAAATCAAGAACTTTTTATTACCAGTTGTGATGGTGGAGTTGAAATATTGCAAGAAAAAACTATTATGTCTTGAGAAAAGGTAGCTTCTTCTATATTAACTCCTAGAAATAATGTTATGAATGTTGCACTAAGAATTTTTGAGCATCAGCGTAGGCACAGTGGATGGGGGCATAACTCCATCTCTCCAGGGTAAGTTTCAACATTGGCAAACAGCTGGAAACTAAGTAAGGAAGCATAAAAAGGACAGACATCCACCCAGCACTAATTCATCCCCAGTCTCCAGTGATCTTGTGCATCAAGAATTTCTTGTTGTCTCTGTAAATTTAATATTTGAGCTTGTCAAAGCTATGCTTGAACTGGCATAAAGTTTTTGCATCCACAACATCCTGCAGCAAAGAACTACACAGCTTAGCTACATAAAGAAATACTGCTTTTGTTCATTCTCAACCTATTTCAATGAATTTAAATATTGGAAGGGAGAACAAATATTTGCTCATTTATCTACTTCTATTCTCTTTCATAATTTTAATTCTTATTACTTCTCTTACATACTACAGCTTAGACAAAAAACTCAGCAACTTTCTGATTACATCACTAAGAAAAATACAGGCTTTTGTTCACGAGAAAATAACATTAATTTGTATATCTGATTTATGGATACAAAGACTATAAACATATGGGCAATGAATTATTTTATCCTGACTATGGTACAAGAAAGTTTCAAGTCCTAAAAGCAAAGAGAAAGAAGAAATACTGAGCATGGAAAATCTCAGGTTTTTCTGCAAGAATCCCTGCGTGCTCTGGATTGCATGGCAAAAACTTTCAAATTTAACTAGTAACTGAGGAAAATCATAAAAAGATTATTTTATATTTGGACAAGGAATTAAACATATTTAAAGTGAAATTATCTGAGATTTCTGAGTCGGCAAAACTCTACTAAAAATGTCACAAGAGCACATAATTACTTTCTCCCTTTCACATTTTTCTTACCAGACTCTTCTGTTTCACTTATTGGCCCAAATTCATAGAAACCACCTATGTCTGTCAAATTATTCTGGTGCCTCTGTAAAGTCTGAAGGCTGTTCTGTGCTTGTCCTGGCATAGTTCATAACCACACAGATTACATGGGGTTTTTTTTAATATAGAAGATGTCTAAGGATAGACAGCTGCAATTCAGCAGCTGGAGCCCATCCTACAAAATGTGATGGCTCTGCACTGCTCCCCACCATCCCTCATATGAAGCATGCCAGTTGTGGTAAAGAATCAGCAGCCTAACTTGAGCAGATGTGGCAAAACAGCCTGCAGAAATTTTACTAACTGTAACAAAAATTTGTTTATTTTGCTCTTTTGTTCTGTGTTTTGGACTCAACTATGAATTTCTTCTGTTGAATATGCCTTCCACTTGTCCCCACTCCACCAGCATTCCCTTCCTACATGTTGATCCCTCTTTTCTCTGAGCCCAGCCTTGCTTGGTCCTCCAAGGAGACTGTGTATGAGCTCAACTAAGGGTTAGCAATAAATCTCAACAAGAAAAAAAGTACAACCATTCACACTGTGCAAGGAGAAATGGCAAGCACAGCACTGGATTCACTGATGGTTCCTTCCTTCCTTCCTTTCTACTAGCATTGAAGGCAGCAGAAATTCCTTGCCTGATTTCTCCTTAGAAATCAGCACTGGCACGTCAGCCACTTTAAAGTGCTTTCATACCACTGGAGAGGCTTTGGCATCAGTTGGTAAACTGAAGTGTTCACCTCTCTCCAGGCAATACAGAAGGAACCTCAATGGGCTTGATCCCAATATAACTGCATAAAGAAAAAAAATCTGCATAAAGAAAAATGGAGAAATTTGGCCCTATACCTTCTGCTGATTGCAACCACATTGATGGAGATGACTTTCATCAGCTCCTTCTAATAGAGTGGTCTTAGAGACCAGGTACTTTCCTAAATGTGCCCCTGCCTCTGGTAGAGGCAGCCAGCCCATGGTAACCCCATAGCTACATTAAGAGTTGTTATTTGAAAACTGCTGGAAGGAACATTTTCAGAACTGTTAAATCAGTAACAATAATATCTTGGGAAAAGAAATGGAAGCCCCATCAGTGTCAGAGGAGGTGTGTACACGTCTGAGAAAGGGCTAAGCAAGCAGTGGTAGGGCATGCATGGATGCACAGCTTTCAATACATGAAATAAAAAACTAGAAGAAGGATTAGATGCAGAACTCATCCACGAGAAAGCTCACCAAATTCTTTCAAATTTTTAGACAAAACTGTCATAACAAGAATATGGAAGATGTGAGGGAGAAAATAAAGACTTCTTAAAAAGGAACTGAGAAAAGTTCTGCTCAGGCTTATAAAGAACAGAAAACTATTTAAATAGGAGGACGGTCTTTAAGTCACTAAGTTTGAGTGGGGGAAAAATATACCTCCTCTCTTCATATGCACATTTACTGTAGGTTTTAGGAAGTAAATACCATAGTAAAGATCAATGACTTTAGAGAAATACATGCGAAGACTTTGCAAACAGATCAAGACACAGATGATACAATGATTCAATTTTAGTATCTTGAAAACAGCTAAAATCTGATCACCATAGGGTTCTGGGCTAAAAGGAACTTAACTGCTTCCAACTTAAAAAGAAAAGCAAACAAAATCACAAGAAAACAAAAGCAAAACCTTTTTTAGAAGTGAAAAGCAGGATAATTTTGCAGACATCAATATGCATCCATACCTAAATACCACAGACCCCAATAAGCACTCATATATTTAGAAAGCTTCCTTTCTCCAATACAGTGCACACACATGACCTCATGTATATAAATGAACACACCAGCTGTATTTTCTTCCCTACTTGCAGCAAATGTCTCAAAAAAGACAACACCACATAACATTTTCTCCAGGTGCACACTCATGCAGAAAAGCAACAGAGGCTTAGCAAATTATAGTAAAATTCAGCATTGCACATAGAAGATCAGTTCCATCAAGTGCTTCAAGAGAACTAAAATCAACCTCATCCCAAAGAAGTCCAAAACAGAATCACCTGATTCCACTGCCAAATCATAACTGCTTCTTCCTGCATTACTAAGAAACACATCTGCAACCTTGGACGTTGTCTCTGACAGACTTCATACTTCTGCCATCTACTAATGACTGACATGCTTGATCTGTTAAAAAGATGTATTTTAACTTTTTTTTTAATAATGAGAAAAGTATTTCTCACCCCTCATTTTCAAAAACAGCTGGAGCAGTTTGGTATAAATGTTCAAAAAATATCTCAACTAGTAAAGGACTGCCAAATTCTACCAAGAAAGGTAAAATGACTGGGAAAAAGAATAAGCCACTGAAAATCTTTTCTTAAAATGGAAACACTTGTGCAATTTCAACTCTCCATTGCAAGCATTATTATGTCCTCTGAAATAAAGAACTCAAAAGGTTCTTTCAAGTAGACAGTTGGGTTATGGTTTGAAGGCCTCTTGATTTCAGTTTTATTTAAGAAAAATCAAAGGGGTTTATCTTAATGAATACAGAGCTTAAAAGCACCAGGTTCTTGTTTACGTTAAAGACTTATACATACCCTTCAATTTTTAACACACTTTACAAATAAATACAAATAACTTGTATTCTAGATAAGCTTTAAAACTGTTACTGATCCTCTTTTTTTATTTAGTCTATTTTCTGATAAAATCTGTCCAAGATATGCCACAGGCTCAGGATCAAGAAATAATAATAAAAAAAATCAACAGCTACACAAAAAAATCCAATTCAATCCCCTTTCAACTTACAAAAATGTGCCTCATAGGGACCATAAAATCCATGTAATTACCTGCTGCAGGATCTGTAACTGCTTGACTGGTGATGCCAGATGGTGGTTCTTGAAGCTGGTATGTTGCATTTGTGGAGGGTGTCGTAGGGCTGGTGTTGCTGTTTGTCATGTAATGTGAAGGGTATGGTGAGCTATTATAATACTGTGCATACTGGCCCTGGCCAAAACTGGGATAAGAGGGATATTCCTGCAAGACAAAAAAGCAGCTAAGTAGTCCATCAAAGTTTTGCTACTTTTTAGTATAAATTCCAAAATATAACTACAAACACATGTCAGACTTCAAGCACGTATGCTTCCTGTACTGGATGCTGTAGGACCTAAAACTGTGAGGCAGTAAAACAAAATCTAAATTACACATAATTTAGTATGTCTTCTCATACAAGCAGTTTATTAGACACACTGCTGAAGATGTGTGAATAAGAACATCAACCTCTGACAATTAGTTCTAAGATGACAGATTGAAGAAAAACATTTATAGACTTTAGTTTAACTTGAAAGATGACAATTTCTTTCAACAAGCTATTTAAGAGCTACATTTTTGCAGTGGATGAGAATTCTAAGTTTGCCAAAGTCTGCCGAACTCCTATTTACAAATTTACCTGCTGTGAACTATTAAATCCAGTAGAATTTGTGAGTGAATTATTTCCTGCATATATTCCTGATGATGTTGTAAAACTGCTGCCTGAAATGAAAGGAAAAATGATGTGAATTACTAAAACAAACTATTGGAAAATAACTTCTATCACACAATTATATCATAACATTATGGCATATTTGTAATATTTCCCATATGTTGACTGATTCAGCTCTGTAACATGTTAATACTTAGAAAGTGATAATTCATAGTTCTTACACTCTGTGTTTCATTATTACAATAAAAAAATCCCCTTGAAATTTAGATTGGAATTTTGGACCCACCTCAGGTGTGATTGAAAATTCGGCTATTGCACCCCACTGAATAACACCCAGCACTGTGGAAGTAATGAGGGTTTCTGTACTTCTTTTTTTCAATATTTTCTTTTTTGTTTTGTTGAACAATAAGGGCAAGCCTTGTCCTGAGAGACAGCATCTCCCCTTACAAAATCCTGGTGGCTCTGTTTCTCCTGCCACTTAACTATTGGAAAATAACTTCTATCACACAATTATATCATAACATTATGGCATATTTGTAATATTTCCCATATGTTGACTGATTCAGCTCTGTAACATGTTAATACTTAGAAAGTGATAATTCATAGTTCTTACACTCTGTGTTTCATTATTACAATAAAAAAATCCCCTTGAAATTTAGATTGGAATTTTGGACCCACCTCAGGTGTGACTGAAAATTCGGCTATTGCACCCCACTGAATAACACCCAGCACTGTGGAAGTAATGAGGGTTTCTGTACTTCTTTTTTTCAATATTTTCTTTTTTGTTTTGTTGAACAATAAGGGCAAGCCTTGTCCCAAGAGACAGCATCTCCCCTTACGAAATCCTGGTGGCTCTGTTGAGAACTGTGTCCTCTCCCCTCCCTGAGCCTCAGCCCCTCACAGGAGCAGCAAAAGCTGCAACTCCCTGCTCCAAACAGCTCAGTCTGACTGCAAAGCCATTAGGACTCACTAATCGATCAGAGACAGCCTTGGGCTGCAAACCCTTCCTCTTTTGACAGAGTGTACTGGGGATGACACAAGAGAAAAAAAAGTACCTCTCTAAAAAGGGAGACCCAAGATGGAATTTAGCCCAGAGACTGAATTACTGCCTTCATCTCCCTCCTCCAGCTTTCACAAGCCACCAAAAATAGACAGATGGGGCTCTCGTTTAATACCCAACCTGAGAAGCTGTTCCACTAAAAGGGCAGCAACCCCCTTTCAGCTGTCTTGCCCTCACTGGCTGTAACCCAGGAGTGACACAGCCACCAGCTGAGACATATGGATGCACAGGGTGAAGCTGCATAAGCCACCACAAAGTCTGTAATGAGGCAACCTATTGAACTCATCCAGCAGGAGAGCACCAGTCAGCACAGTGTATTAAAGTGCACAGGTTATTTACAGCCTCCCTCACCACCAAAATCTGCCCCAGTGCAAAGATATACAGAGACCTTGGGAGTAAAACTTGCAGGTGAGCAAAGGAGACAAGGAAGGATGAAAACAGGGAGTCAGGCATAAAGACGCACCAATCCCCTGACGTACCCAACACAACTCAGTTAACAACCAAATCCAAAAAGAGGTTACTCATTGGGAGAAGCAACATTTCTTGCAAATCCAAAGAGGACAGAATGCAGGCAGGGGTCCATACTTACTGCAGCCCATGAAGGACATTTGTGAGCTATTTGCTTTTCTTAAACAAAAAGCCACCAGACCAACATGTATCGTAACTATGAGAAGTCAGAAGGAAAAATATTTAGATGTTTTGACTGCAAAAATTACTAAAATCACATACAAGTTAATTCTCAAAGAAGTAGATGAGAAGTCCAACAGCAGTGGGAGTAAAGGATGAAGCTTAAACTTAATGTATGAAATTACTATAAACATTTATTTTCTGTCTTCTATTAGTGCAAAATCTCTGATTGTTGATAGATGCTACTAATCCTGTGAACTAAAATCAGATTACTTCAGCAGAAGAGTTGACATCCAAGTTTAGCAGATAGTACCGATAAACAGTACTAATGAGAAAAACATGTTTTAAATTTAATTTAAAATTGGAAAACAGATATTTTTTTTTTATTGTGACAAACACGAAAGCCAAAATACAGCTTAAAAATATTTTAAATTGCAAAACTTTGAAATAACATTTTATTTCTAATAATGCTCTGGCTGGAAAAACATAAGTCACTGTGTCTCTTCTTATTTCTATGGGGTTTTTTGAAGATGCAGTAATACATTCAAACACAGGTTTTAAATGTGCACAGTTTGAGCCACTCTAAAGAGATATAAAAGGCCTCTCATAAGTAAAAAAAACCCCAGACTTTGTTTGAGGAATACATTATCTTTCTTCAAAAAGTCTGGAAAATAATTTGCAAGAGCAAATGAGAAAAGTAATTACATGCCAGCCAGCATCTCTCCCTCCCAGACAAAGACACACACACACTAACATGCAGATCTCTCTTTCATCTCATGGTCAGCACTGGCTTCTATGGAGGAGGGGTAAGGGTCTCCTAGACCGTAACAAACATGAAGCAGGTTTCTTAGAAACAGCTCTGTGGGCCACCCAGAACTACAGGCCTTAAGTTGTTTTTAAAATACTCATGACTTTGCAAATTGTTTCTTAAATATTCAGCCATAACATGGCATAGAGCCGCTATCGTGCCTTAGCAGAACAAACACAAAAATAAGAATCACTACAAAACATGCAAGATTTACTGCCCTAAGTTGGCTGGCTACATAGCTTTAAAATGTGATAAAAGCTGTAAATTGCAGGTCAAAGGTCTATTTTGCAAAGAGCTCTGACCCACATTAAAGCTGGGAATCCCAGCCAGTGTCGGAAGGTGGCCGGACCCTGCTGGGAGTAGGGCGCGCTCCAGGTGCGGGGCGCGCCCTGTGCCGCCTCAGGCACGGGATAAGGTCCTCCCCCGTGTATTGGCCACAGAAACCCATTTGCTTTCCTAGCTCAGTCGCCTTGCCATGGGCTATGTCTATCATCAGGGTACAATGTATGTGGCAGAAGTTTAGTGCAGCTCTCCTGGGAAAGCCTTAGACAGCCAGATGGGCTATTTAAGCTCAAGGTTTCTTCCGTTTGCTTACAGTGTTTAAAAATCCTTGGCAAACTCCCCTTTGTTGTCCTAGTAACTGCTTAGCCATCCAGCACAATATTTTTATATTGTATAATAATAACCAAATACCTTAACGTTTACTTTTTTACAGTTGAATTCCCAAACCAATGGGATAGTTATTCTCTATCATCACAGCCTCAGTAACTAAAACAATGCTAGTGCTCATTGCAGGTCTAGCACCCTTCCAGTGGTAGGGTCCTCGGATGGAGGGTACAAGCCCTTTTATGGGTTTGTACCCATATACAAAAAGCATTGTACCAATGCTTTTTATCACAATCAAAGGAGACCCAAATAAGACATTTGCAAATGGAGTTCTTTCCTTGCTGTTTCCTCCAGCCCTTCTCCACTCCATTTATCCTCACTGTGCAATCCTTATAAATCTGCCAATATAGGAACAAGGGCCCATTCCCACAGCCATTAGTCATGTAAGTGGTCTTTCAACATCTATGAAGCAACTTATATGAAAAACAGCTTAAGGAACACACTCGTTAAATAAAGGAAGGGGGAGGGGGGAGAGGGGAGTGGGGAGATGGGTCGCAGAACCGCCTGAGTCCTCTTCTCACCCTCTCCCCTATGCCCACTTCCTTACTGAGGTTATAAATTTGTGACAAACAAAAATACAATTACCAGAATAAACTTAGCAAGGAGTCAGTCACAGGCAACAATTCTCCTTATAATTTTCATAAGTTGGCAGCCTCTTGCCCCACTATTGTTCAGTGACTAATGACGCTGTAATTTTAGCAGGGTCAGGAAAAGCACTGGGTTTAATTGGCTGCACACGCACCGCGAGGCAGCGTCCCTACATTGCAGGCAGACATTCATCCCAGGGAGAGGAACCAGAATTAACTCCAAAGCTTTGGAGCACGAGGTAACCCCAGTCAGGGAACACGAGCAGGACAACTGCAAGGCCACTAGGAAATCCCCTTTGCCGCAGGCAGGAATGCCAGCAGGGCCCCGAGCCGCTGTCATGTAACGCTCGGTTGCGGAGTAGGTTGTGGGATCCATTATCTCCATTTAGCAGCTCAGCAGCTGCACGCAGGAGATGAAGAACAGTTATTGCAGGCTATGACAAGGCTGAGGCTGCAGCCTGCCCATATACTGCTAGAGGGAAAAGGGAGAATAAACTCATTTTCCTCTCTGGAGGTTTCTGCACAAACAACTGAACAGCAGCAGCAGTAACCCCGCCTTCTGTCATGAGAATCAATTTTGTCCTTAAATAATAGTTTAAATTATGAATAAGTTCTCCTTCCAAAATTAAATCAGGAAAGAGAAACAAATGTTCCTGTTTACTTTTAACAGCTGTCCAATCAAAAGGAAGAATTAGGTCAATTTAGAGTTGTTTCAAATACACAAGTTTACTTAATGAAAATATTACAAAGACATATATTCTCATGTGCAGTACAGACATATATTGTCAAACATTTAACTGCAAGAAAGACCTGTTCAGAAATATGATTTTTTTTTACTTAGCAACTAACAACTCCACCAGTCCTTTCATTTGAAATATTCTCCTTATTTCCAATCTGATGGTCTCCAAGGTTTCTGTAGAACACCAGTCCTCCCCTCACCCACACATTGTGCTGTTTATGAGCACAGCAGAAAGGACATACACACCACAGGGATGCTCCAAGTCTGACCTGTGTCTCTTCTGCTCAAGCCAGACCATCAGTGATCCACTGACTTCCACAGGTGGGCAGCTCTCAGCCCAAGCACAGCACAGCTAGAGAACAGGGCTAAGACCCCCCTCCCCACTAAGCCCTGTGGACAATTCCATCATTAAATCAATGCTTCTGATCCTTTTGCTATTAGAGCTTCACAACTGGGACATCTTTAACATATTTCTTTTTGCAGAATATTTTAAGATCCTTGCCTCTCAAAGTATACAGATGAAGTGCTTTTCAAGATGTTACTGTTCCATCTCTTGACAACTGCCACCCTTTGCTGAGCTTGAAAAATCTGATCTTATACAAATTTTGCATATAGCAAAGAAAAAAAAAGCAATACCCTTTATGGCAGACTCTATGCAGTCTATTGACAGAGTCCTAGCTTTGCACTACTAATGCCAGAATTCATATTACTTACAGCTTTCACTTAAAAATTTCCAAGCACTCTCTACATTACCCTTTGCTGCTCCCTCTTCCCTCCCTCTATTGAATGAGTTTCCCATAGACATCTGCAAAACTATTTCCCTGTCCTCCCTAAAATCCCTTTTTATTGACATCCCTCTGCTCGAGATCTTTCAAAAAACACCTTTAGAGCTGTTAGATAACCAGTATGGGGTGCCAACTGTTTATTATACATAAACAGTGTCAGCTTTAGTGTTTCATTAGGCTCTTCTAGTCTGTGTGTTTAATTTTAGCCTCCAACTTCTATGGACTTTATTTTTATTTCCCTGTAGAAGTTAACACAACAGGATCCCAGTATATGACTGTGGCATGAAAGAACTACTGCAATAGAAATTATAGGCAGCACCGACATGATTTTTCAATCACACTATTTCCTAGCAACTGTGAATTATCACTTCCTTAAAAGCTGAAATGTTGACTCAGAAGTTCATTTTAGCTGCTGCTGGCAAGCATTTTGAGCTTTCTCCTACAGAGAGGCAGGATTTTTGGAGGGGGGAAGGTGGAAGTAGGTGTGGAGGTGTGTTTGTTTGAGTTCTTTTGTGTAGCTGCCTGCAGAAAGCAAAACCAGTAACCTTGTTTGGTTATATTTACTCTGATGAGGAGAAGATCATCACTATTCACCATCTAGATGAAAATCCATGTGCTACTCTGGTCCTGTCCCTCTTGCTTGTCAGAGCACGCCATAAATCAGCAATATTTGAGATGTCAGAGGGTCACTTTGGCCCTATGGAGCTACTCAACACACAGTTCAAAAGGAGATTAAAAAAAATGCACCAAAAACATCTTTCTTGTGTCTGAGCAAAGGACTGGATCATTATATCCTTAAAGCTGTGGAATAAAAGCAAAATCTTATTCACTTAGTCTCTGAAAGCATGTCTGCCTCAAGACATTTCATGGAGTGTTTACTTGGTGGCACACAGTTTAGACTGAGCTTGATAATATACAAAGGTGCTAAACTTATAAAAAATGTGGTCCATTTCTGTGATTGATGACTTATTTCAACAAGTCCAAAATCTGCAACACACCTGGTATTTACTGCCAAATTCAGGGTGAAAAGGCCTGCAGCAAACATCCCAAATTAACTATTTCTGCTAAACAAAGTTTTTTTTAAAACATCCATTAAGTGGTGAACAATCCAGAACCAGGCACACCCAGTGACTTCTCAATACAGAAGAAGAAAAGGAATTGGGAGAACAAGGTGGAAAGACATTAAATAAACTAAAGAGGCAAGTACAGCTACAAAATATAATTGATAATAATAGCCTGCACATACAAAGACTTACAGCTTTTAAATAGACTTCAAAGAAACAGACTTCAATCATTATTTAGCTACCTCCACAGCTGCAGTAGGTATTTTTATCTTCTTCTCCCTCCTCAAACATGCTCAGGTGTCAAATTATATTTGGCACTTCCTAAATTCATAATCCTGTCACGTTTTACAGCACTAGCTTTGTCTCATTCACTGTTTGCTAAACTATTGCTATTCAGAGATGCATTTTTTTACTGTAACAACACTACAATATTTCAATGTTTAAAATTTAATGAAGCAAGGGGTCTTCTAAACTGCTGATAGCTGGCCTGTTGCTCTCTCAGCAAAGGCAATCATCATTTCATCTCCAACTGCAATAAAATCAGAGTTAAGTGCTCAAGCAAGTATTCATTTTTATTCTAGGAATATAACAAAATAAGGAAGAAAAAAAATCCCACCATAGCATTAGCTATATCTAATTAATGGTAACATCTGTTTATACAGACCTTGCATCTGGTAGCTATAGGGAGCCTGTCCAGGTTGAGGTGTGCTAAAGCTGGCACCGTAGCTGAGAAATCCTGTCTGTCCAGGTGACTGGGACTGTGCCAATCCACCTTCTGTCTTGATGCCTGCCCACAATGCACCTAAATCAGTTAGTGACAGCAAATCTATTTGTTCATATTCAAACAGGGATGGAAAATAAAATCACTTAATTAACAACAATATTAACATATACCTACTATTGCCTGAGAGAAAAAATACTGAGAGCATGCACAAATTAATGGGGTAAGGGCAGTCTAAGAGCACACTGAAAACTGAAGTTCACCAGAGAGAGGTTAAATTCAAAACTGTGTTTCCAATAACTGCAAAAGAAATTTATACATGAACAGGAAGTTGCATTATTCCCTTTTTCCTTTCCTGCCAGAGGCAAACTTTTCCATATATTCATGACATTAGACAGAGGTAGATTAGCAACTTTATATGATTTTAATGAAGCATAGCATAGCCAAGCTCTCCTGCCATCTACCCATTGATGACATAAATGAAAATTACATTGTGTATTATTCCTACATGAAAATCACACAGCTCCAAGAATGGTTTTTTAAGAATTAGAAGTGGATAAAGAGAACTGGCAGTATTAAGTGCAATGATGATTTTTCAAAGGTAATTAAACATTAATTCAGTTCTTAACAAATAAGCACCTAAGAGACAGGAACTGTTTCTAAAGCAATCTCCTCAACTGGGAAAAACATAGCAGAGTCATTAATCTACACTGGCAGAGAAATCCATTACACACCACATTACTCTCTCATTTCTAAATTTAGTTATAAAATAATCCAAAGTCAGATCAGTGAATGACTTGCTGCCCAGTTTCAGTGATTCTTTTCTCAATTTGTAAGGCAATGAGCAAGTAAATATCAGCAAGCAAAATACTGAGGAAATGCACACAATTCAGCCTCTGTCTCTTAGTTTTAATTATAAGGTTGTCCTAACATGAACTACCATTTAAAAATAATTATAGCCAAAGTAATGGAAAAGTGATACAATATTCTTAGGTTTCACTGTGGCATTCAGTGATAACTCATTGTTCAGAAACCAACAATATTTGAACTGAATTTACTAAGTGTGAATTAGTAACATTCCTTTGAAAATTACTGTTAATCTAAGTTCATTTCCTGGTTGGATTTTGCTCTAGACAATATTCAACAATGTTTCAAGGTAGGAGTGGGCTCAGAAATTATTGTGTTGGCAAAACTTCAATACCTCCCTGTATATACAAATGGCAGCATATTTTCTACCATCTAACTAATTATTTTTCAACTGTTGTCATTAATTAACCTCAATTCCTTCTGCCAGACCTTCTAACTGCTGAGCTAAACGTGTTTGCTTGTTTTTCCCTGATGCTTACTTGATTCTTCTGTTTCCTGTTACAATTAAGCAGTTCGAATGGCAAATCTTGACACCTCATTTCCAAGGGGAAACTCCTGCAGTGGATGGCTTGGTATCAACAATCCCTATTTGCTGTCTGTTTAAGGACTTCTGAAATGCTGATTAAATATGGCTTAGAGAAAGTTTAACTAAATCAAGCATTAAATTTCTAGTCTAAATTTCCCTTAGCAGCCTGATCCAACTCTCCATCTCAGGCAGAGCAGGAGATGATCAAAAGCAGCAGTAGGAGGATGCCACTTGAGTGAAGACAACTTGGCACTGACATGCCCTTTTACAAACCTCCATGCTATGAAGAGCCTTTCATCTCCTGGGACTTACTCTCACACTTGCTCTCATCCCCAAAGCCTTCACTCATCAAACCTTGGTGCTCCCTTCTCCCAAGTCTAATGTACTCAAGGAAGTGGGAAGGGACAGTGACACAAGAGGACTGCCAGGATCTGGAGGGTAAAGAAGTTGGAAAGCAAAGCCTTTGCTAGATGCTGGTGCTGGAGCAAGGAGGAGGAAAGAGCTTCAGGAAATTCTCCAGCCTCCTCAGGGGCTTTGCAGATGAAGCAGAGCCAGGAGCCCCAGGGCAGCAGCTGTCAGTGGCATTCCCCTCCACCCCCCTTCCTGCCTGCATGGCTGCATGGCTGTGGAGGTGGGGAACTGGAAAAATGAAGAGGCTAGAGGTACAGTTGAGACAGCACCTTCCCAAACTCTACTCTAGAGAGAGTACTCTACTCTACCTGAGGCAGGCTGATACAAAAACTCACAAACACTCTTTCTTCTAGTAGACCCAGAGTAAAGAAACAAAAAGAAAGAGGCCACAACTCAGTTTTTTTTCCTTTCAAAAAGGCATAAGTCTTCTCCCTTTATACTGCTGTAAGATTTCTGTCTGGATAAAAGAAAGGCAAGACAGAGGGTACATGGGGTCTAAACTGCAGATCAAAGAGTAGAATTTTGGCTCTAAGCAAGGCTTCAGCTTGTGCCTATTGCAAATGAGTGTCCTAATGCTTCCCAATTTCATTTGGGAGCATAGATTATATGGCATGCCTTAAATATGCAAAAAAAATAAGTTAAGTCCTAAAACTTTTTAATAGTTATTTGCTTTTAAATATTACTCCTGTAAAGTACATCAGCAATGAGCACCTTAGCACCAGCCACAAGGCACAAATCTGAAAACTACAAAACATACAAAAATTCTCTTGGCTCAGGAGCTGAGGATTTCAGTGGTCATAAGTAGCTCTGCAATGTAAAACATTGCAAATTTATCTGAAGTCCTAGGCATGGGGGATGGACTAGGCAAAAAACCAAACCAAAACAAAAGAGCAGGCAAGCATGTTAACCCCCACAAGCAGTTGCCAAGTAAAGCAACTCTCAATTACAGCTCCGACGACAGTGAGACAGCTAAACTCAAGCAGTGAAATCAAGGCCTGGCTGAAGTCAGTGGGAATTTTAGAACTGACTTCAGTGAGGTCAGGATTTAATCCAGAGGAACCAAGCAAAAAACAAAAAAGTCACTGTTTGGGCTGCCCAAGCCTAGCAGTCAGCCAAGTATAAACATGAGGTGTCCACAGGAGAAACAGGTCAACAAAAGAAGGGTGGGGAAAAGGGTTGTCTGTTATCATCCCCCTGATCCAGATGGAATTAGCAGATGAACTCTCATCAACAGGAGCTCTTGTGTGTGTGTGTGTGTGTGTGTGTGTGTCCAAGACACCCCATCTCATAGTGTAAGTTTAAAATATGTGCATTTGAACTGAAACTGAAATATCCAATATATACTTAGAAACCTATTTTAAAGTAAAAGGGAAAATAATGTATTTCTTTTGCCTAGTGTTCACTATAATCTGCCATAGGGTATACTTGAGATCCAGTGGATTTTCAGCTTACAGACTTCAAGATGAGAGATTCACCAGTTTTGCACTTCAAATCTTTAATACCTTTAAAGTGGACAGCTTATATGGCGAGTGCTGTTCTTTTGGTATAAAACTTACATTATCTGAATGGATTTTTACAACATATACTGCTCAAAGCATGTGGATTGTATATTTTTAATATATTCCCTCAGAGGAATATAAGACTTATTTTCTAATAATGCATCCTTGCTGCTGCACTGCTATGTGGTCTGCCAGCAGACAGTCTGGCAGGAAAATGGTCTCACCCATGGCAGCTTGTTTTTAAATTAAATTTTTTGGGAAATATTTGCTACTTAGTACTATCTCCTTCATCAGGCAGACAGAGCTTTAGCTCAATTTACCTCAATTTTCACCTCCAGGGATTTTGAAAACATTGGAAAAAAGGTTTTTTTGATGGAGGCACTTTTGAATCAGTATTTTTTGCCTTCTGAAAATCAGCACAGCCTTGCAGAGTCATCTGGGTTCTAGTAATCTGTACCAGCTGAAATTCGGACTTTTACATCCCAATGTAACCTCACACACTGCTGGGGAGCAGAGCCCTGAGCAAGTCGCCAGGGGCTGGGTCTGTGCCGTGGAAACCCTGAGATCTCCTTTCCCATTTCACTGCTGTATTTTTGATGTCACCAACAAGAAGCTAATGATGAGCCTCTCCTCACAACCCCAATATGGGCTTATTTTCTTGAGTACCTTTTTAACTCCTTAATACATAAATTAAACATCACTCATTCCAAGGTGAGAAAATTAACAGCCCTCCACAAGAAATGCTCTAGAGCACAGCTGCCCCACTAAGCACCCACCGAAGGGTCACACAGGCTTGATCTAAAAGACATTTACCTCAGGAATAAAAGGTCCCAGCTGGGATTTCTTACCATAGGAAGGGATTCCGTAGGGCTGGCCGGGCTGGGGGTAAGTGGCATAGGCTGTAGCTTGCTGCATTCCCGCTGTAAACTGGGTCTGCCCATAGGCAGCCATCGCTTGTGAAGACGGGGTAGGGAGGATATGTGGGTAGGGTCTGCTATTGATTACAAGTGACAGAAAATAGGACAGACACTCCATTAGACAGACATGCATGTACTTATTTTTAGCCTTATTATAATCCTGCTGCTTCATTAACACATAATCATACGCTGTGCTAGACAATGAAAACTTTAAGAGACAAAATAAGAAAGAAATAATAAGAATAATAGAATAATAAAAAAACAATAAAAAATCAATAATAAAAGAATAAGTGAAATATGAACTTTACAAATATTTTTCAAATACATTCTTAGCATTTAATTATTTTTTTTCCTTAGAGGCTGCTGCAGTTTAAATTATGGCTTAACAGATGGACTCAATTATTACTTTAAATGAGGTTAAAATCTGCCTATTCCAGTTATTATTATTACTACTACTATTATTATTTTAAAAAGATATCATACTTGGAAGGGTAAATCTGTGGTGGGGAGAACTGGTGTGTTTGTCTTGGGCTGAAACCACTGCTTCCAATTGCTGCACCAAGGAGAAAAGAAAGCATACAGAAGTGTAAATACACACACCAAAGATAAATATTATTTTTCCTAATAGAATTTCAGAGAATTAACAAGACTTTAATTAAATTCAAATATCATTGATACCTTAGATAGAAAATAATATTTTATGAGGAACTATACAGGAATGCTTAACATTAAAATCTTGATTGCAAATCTGAAATACTAAATTGCCCCTTTGTACAATTCCTGAGCCATAGTTTATTCTTTGGTTGCACACAGGCAACACTTTCAATGCAAACAACCTATTTCCTAATGGAAACATTTCCCTTCATATTTTCAAAGGATTGCTGATATCTCAAGTGCAACATTTTATTAACTTTTAGAATTTTTAAGACCTACATTTTATGAAGGAGCTTTATGCGTGCCTCGATTGAAAACACATGGCCCGCTTCAGAGCACGTGCCTCTTTTAAAAAAAAATGATTCCTATTACAGACTATGTATTACCTTATTACACTTCTATTTTCTTCCACCTTATCTGCTGTCTAAAATGCTTTCAGCCCTTCAAATCAGTATTGCAGAGGGCTGTCCAAGGTGCAGATGCTGTCAGTGGAACAGGTAAGTACAGGAGGCTGCACCGCGAGCCGCTCCGCGAGCAGCCCCAGCACAGCTCCCTCCTGTCAGCATCTCCAGGTGCTGCCCAGAGCGTGGCAGCTCTGCTGGCCTCCCCTGCTTAGGACCACATTTCTGGGAGCCCTTCCCTCTCTGGTTGCTCTCTGGGTGCCACTTCTCCTCTAGGTCCCCAGGGTGAGCTTGGGAGCCTTTGCCACCAAAGGGTCAGCAGCAGGTTATGAGACTACTGTAAGATCAGACAGCCCGAGAAACAACTGGCCTTATTGCGGAGTGCTTGGAAATAAACAAGGCACACATAATTACCCCTCACCAGCTACCCCCTTCCTGGCCAGCTACAGGGCAAATCCATCATCTTTACACTCTGGGAGGGAAGCAGGGAGTCTCTTTCTGTGCCTTCTACATCCAATAATTTTTCTTTGCTGTGGCCTGTGAGGCTGCAGACATGCCAAGTGTTACACTCGAACCTTTACTCAGATCACCACAGATGTATGTAGGTAGCTACAATTAGGTACACACTGTATTTTCTTCTTTCAGAGAATTAAAATACCTTAGAAACCTTTCTTTGGGCTTTCAGGCTTGATGCTTTCAAACTCAATAGCCTGTACAGAAAATGAAGGCTGTGACAAGACTTGGAAAGGGCTTGTCAGACCAGGAGTCTGACTGGTTGTGAGATGTCAAATTTTGCTACTACTGAAGTGTAATCCCACAATATTAGATCCTTTTCTGATTTGATTTGCACCATAAAACCAATGTGCTAGAAATACCACAGTTAGTCCACAGGTGTGCAAAACTGAGCAAACACCTTAGGTTGTTCTCACAGTGTTTGTATCCTGTATGTCAGAAGCTAAGATGCATTTGGCTTCCTCTAAGAAAAGAAGCCAAAGAATGAATACTTTGGTAATAACAAATTACAATAAGTGAGGTAGACCTACCCCCTAATTAGAATAATAACCACAGAGGCATGTATGTTTATTCACAGAAAACAAAAAGTAATTACTCTGGGCCAGAATACTCCCTAGTGAGACTCCCACCAAAGACATCAATGGACATTAATAAGCCTGATACTGTAATGTTCCTTACTTGGGGAAAACACCTGTTGACTTAGACTAAAATGTACAGAAATTGGCAAAACACGGAAAGTACAAAAGGCTTTTTAAGAGAGGTGCACAGGTTTAGATCACATGGGATAAGAAAATAATAAATGATAAAAATGCTGAGCTTAAGACTTTTGTTTATTCCTTACCTGATCCTGAGAAATTGTCTAAAGACCCGTCTGTGGTGGTAGTAGTAGTGATCTCACTGCTGTTCATTGGTTCTGTTTTAACTATAGAAATATAAACAGATGATATTCTATATGCTCCTAATACTCTTGCAGGCGCATGCACACACACTCACTACAAACACAAACTCAATAAAGCAAAAATCTGCCAAAAATATTCTAAATCATGGCTATCGATATTTTGCATTTTATGTATTTGTGTATACAAACACTGCAAAATACCGGCAGCTATGATTTACACATAAATATAAGATGATCAAGAGGGTTATTCCTGTCCCCAAGGAATAAGAGCCACTGTAACAAACCAGAAGTCCCCATGCAACTCTCTGCACCTGTCCTGATTCCTCTTAATCCTACAGACCCAACAATAAGGATCCACATTTAGATCAGGTCACACAGCATTTACAGGCTTGAAAGACAGCAAATTGAATAAGACAAAAGAGGAAATAATTTTAAAATGGTTTTCGCTGAGGGCTGTTCACATTTTGCTTCCAATTAAATAATATTTCAGAGGAAAATTAAGGATTTGTGATGAAGTAAAACACTTTTCTTGTGGTGGATTTGTCCTCTCAAAATGAAAACCAACTTTATATTCAACAATTTTGAATTTAAAAAAAAGGACACAGTCCTCACCAAATACTTAAAGGAATGCTTTTACATTTTATCCCTCTGTACCCACAACATAATGCGGCTGTCTGAGCAGAAAAAAGAAACAGACCAAGAGATTATTGCCTGGCTCCTGCTGATTCACAATCAATAACCAATTAATGACTTTTAATAAAACTTCAAGTAAATAAACAATTTCCCTTTCTGTCACTCCAGTGCAAAGTCTGTAATGTTAAGATCAGGACAGTATCCTGCTCCAAAGAGCAAAGATGGGGCTGACTTGGCATGGATGCAAAATAGGCACCAATACCTACTCCCCATATAGTTTGTCAATATGTGTGTTCAAGAATTACAACCATCCCTAGCAGAAACCTTTGGTACCAAGTTTGAAAAGGCTGAGGCTTCCCTTTTTTCACAAAAGACCTTTCCTTTCATTGCCAGTCCACATTTCCACATTCTTATTTCTGCATGTCTTATTTCCTTCACCAAGCCTCCTCCATGGAATTTGTAAGAAATCTCTCAACATTTTACTAATTGTCCAGTATTTTCTTTTGACTCATGCAGGAGTTCTGCCTGCTAACTTGGGAGGTCAATGCTTAGCTGCACACAAAACTCTGCTGTGTCTGCATTAACAAGCAATGCAGTCCATTTAGGAAAGTTTAATGAAGTGAAATGGTTGGGGCAGAGGGCCCAGTGTCCAGAGGTTGGGCATTTTTGAGAGCATTTATTCAGCTTGAGAACATGAGCTGCACTTCTGCAAAGCAGCTTTTTTGAAACAAGTGAAGTCCAAGAGACTCCCTAAGGGGAATTACTGTGGTAAGAAAAGGTGGCCACGAAGTTCACTCCAAAAGTGCACTCATGATTTGAACCCTAACTCTACTACAAAGGTATTTCTTAAAAACACAGCATGTAAGTTATTCACCATCCATTAAATGACTAAATACTGAAAGTCTAACACACATATACAATGAAATATTTATTGCAGAGTGTCTATCACAAGTAATTTTTCAGAAACACTGTTACAGCATGTTCTACAGTTTGTCAATCTAAATATGAAAAATTATAGGATCTACATTATCTTCTGCCTTTTCTTAGAAGTTTATTACAGCTACATTTTACAGTCAGACTCATGCTTCTTTCACAGACTACTCCAAGTTTCCCCAGAATCTGCAAGTCTTCTGAACCTAACTTCCATAACGCAATTGTACTTTGGGAATAACAATGAAAGATGCTTTCCTCTATAGCTGGTATCTGTGGTGAGGGAAAAGAGAGGAAGATAAGACAGATCCACCTAACCTGGAGTAAAGGGTGGAATTTTTCAGTACGTGCTTTCTCCAAACTCTTCTATATTGGAGAAACAATATTCCATATTCTTCATTTTTGGATCACTGCAAATTAGCAGTCTGAGGACTACACTGAACTGCCTCACATAGTATAGAGAAGTATAGTGTCAGCCATTCTAAATAAAAAGCAGCCCTTCTGAAAAGGACTTGGGATTTCTGGAGGATAAGAAGTTAGGTGAGAGCTGGGAATCTCCATTTCTAGCCCAGAAAGACCAACTGCATCCAGGGCTGCATCAAAAGCAATGTAGCCAGCAGGGAAGGGAGGGGATTCTGCCCCCTGCTCTGCTCTCTGAGACACTACTGGGAGTCCTGCATCCAGCACAGGAAGGACATGGACCTGTTGGAACAAGTCCAGAGCAAGGACACCAAGATGACTGGAGGGGTGGAGCACATCCCCTGCAAGGAAAGGCTAAGACATTTGGGACTGTTGACCCTAGAAAAGGTTTTGGGGTGATCTAATTGTGGCTTTCCAGTACCTGAAGGGATCCCACAAGAAAAATGGAGAAGGACCTTTTGCAAGTACATGCGGTGTCAGAAAAAGGGAGAATGGATCCAAAGGGAAAGATAGTAGGTTTAGATTAGGTATCAGGAAGAAATCCTTTACTCTGAGGGCAGTGAGGCACAAGAACAGGTTGCCCAGAGGAGCTATGACTTCCCCGTCATTTGAAATGTTCAAGGACAAGTTGGATGAGCCTCTGAGCACCTATTTGGACCCTTGTTTAAGATACCATTTTCAGAAAAACATTGTCAAAATGTAATTTCCTTTTCTACAACTAATGAGCAATACTTCTATGCAACACAGTTTTAAACTGAATGCTGTATACCACACATACTACTTTTAAAGGTACAGGAAAAAATATTAAATACAATGCAGTGCATCTTCATGGGAAGGAATTCTAGTTGCTGACTGAGGTGCTCACCAATTTTTCATTAAAAACTTTTTGTTTTCTCTCTCAGCTTCAATCTCCCAAATATAAAAAAGAAAACCCCAGGACACAAGAAAGTATATTCCCATTATTCCTGGATCCCTGGATCTGGATACCTTGGGTGATAACAAATATGTCCTAGAATGCTGTCTTTAGAAACAACCACAACCTTAATGAACCTTTGTGTCACAGATAGCTGGGAATTTAATAAAGATGAATAGGTACTGAGAAACTTTTAATTCCCCAAGCACTTTAATCAAAATGCCTGAAAATTGCTGCATACTTCCTTCTATCAGCCTAAGCACATTTAAGAGGAGAAAATATTCCTGTAAAAAGTTATAAATTGAGAAGAATAGCCATGGTTTTACCTGTTGGAAATATTTACATGTTCTTTTACTGCAAAGGAAGGTCTCTTGTTTGTCCAAGGCAAAACTGACCTGCCATGAAGCATATTTCACCCCAGAACCACGGAGAAAGAGAACTGCAAAGGGACTGCCTAAGAATACAAGTCTCACAGCCTATCCCAGCAGCACATGAGTCATCCATATCTATAAAGAGAGACAAATGGAGCTGTCCAAGGAAGCCAGGCTTTGGGCGGGCACAGATTTGGCCCTGCCATGTGCTGCTTACGGGTGCTCTGGAGTTCAGCTCCTTACATTTTCCATGGCAATTAACATTTCTGTGACATGTCCTAAGCTTTCACAAGATGACACTGGGAAATGAGTGGGAATATTGCCACATCTAGACAACACATATTGCAGGCTTGCCAGTAACAGCCAACATCATGCTCACTTGTGGCAGAAACTGTGGAAAGTGACACAGGAAAGCTCCCATTTCTGCTGCTCCTTTACCAAAACTGACCTTTACAGAGGTGCAGAATCATCAGACTTGAATTCTAGAGACAGACTGATTTAGCAATGTACTACTAAGTTTTAGTGCCCCCCAAACCACTCAAGTAAATAGATTATCAATAAGAAGTTCAAGAAGTACACTAATGTCTTCTTAACCTGCTGCAAAAAGTCAGTGTTTATTTAGAACTAGTGATTCAGATTTGGTTTATATATCAAGCAGCTTAAGAAACTGAGAGATTTTTTCCCCTCATTTTTTGCTTCTGGTAATTTGTGAGATTCTAAAAATACTAAAAAGAAACTGTGTAAGAAAATGCACGGAACAGTAGAAAAAATAGGAGTAGCAGATAATAGCACAAATGATGGCTTGGAGAAAAAAAACAAAAAAAAATCAGAGATGTCACAACTGACCTATATAGCTGATCTAATGCTATATAGGTCGTTAAGATTTTTCTTCTAAAGGAACTCAGAGACTGCAAGTGCAATGTGCCCTGTTTTGTCAGCTGTATAGCCAAAGGTGGTTAAAAAATTACTTACATGGCAGTTTCTGAACTCTGTTGAGAGAGACAGAGAACTTCAGACCAGAACCCACAAGTTCGTGTGGTTCATTGGCCAAGTGACAACTTTCTGAGTTCACAGCTTGTCAAACAGTTCCTGGTATGAATATCAGTAAAAAGTGTTGTGAGGAAGGAAATGCTGGCTATTTTAAATATGGATTTTGAGACCTAATATTTGGCTACTTCTAGCACAGAAATTGCAGGAACACCTCATAAAGATCTGCACATTCAAGCATGCAAAAAGTAAGGTTTTAAAATATCTTTTAAAAGAATTGCTTTTATTACATTAAATACATATAAGGCTTGCTCTACTGAACTCATCTTTGTTAACAGCTATGCCATATACATTAAATCAGAATAGAAATATTGCAAACATGCTGGACATTAAACAGGTCTTTATTTTGCAGTTTTAAGATTGAATTAACTCTATGATGTTATATTCTTTGTATTTTATAAAAAAGTGGGAAAATCTAAAGTATTCTTGGCTGACAGTTCTCATTGTTCATGGGCTACAAGAGACTCAACGAAGTGTGGTAGTTTGTTTATAGACATACATAAAACACAGTCTCTTGCCCTATTTTGGCTGGCATCCTCAAATAATAGTAGTAACTAAACACCATGTAAGTCTTGATTAAGTACTTTATATATAATCAATTGCTATTCACACGCTGTTTTGCTTAACATCATCCTGTTTCTGTACTCACTATAGAAGCCCAAAGTTCACCTAGAAGCACAAAGATAATTTTTACTAACAACAAGACAAAA